TCAGCTCCCCCTGGAGAAAATGGATGCTTTGGAGGGTGGACTCTGTGGCATTGTATCTCGCTGAGGTCCCTGTCCTCCCCAAGCTCCACCCCCAAATCTCCAGGAGTTTCCCAACCTGGGGCTGGCAAGTCTACCCCCCATCCCCTGGGACCTATTTAGAAGTAAGTCCAATTCCGTAGCACTTGGTTTGAAAAGAACTCTAAGAGAAATATGCCAGCTTTTGCAGTCTGATAAGATGGGTGGCCAGTACGAAACTTGTAACTTTAGAAAGATACTGGTAAACAGGGGTCATTTCGTAGAAGAGGAGGTGCAGGAGCTCGTTAGCATAACTCATTAGCATAACTCATTTGCATATGCCACACCCCCTGACATCACTGGAAGTTTGTCAGAAGGCAACACCCACCGTTCAGGCTCCACCCCCAAAATCTCCAGGTATTTCCCAACTCAGATTCAAACCTGGGTCTCCCAAATCCTTGTCTGGAACACTAACCACTACACAACACTTCATGGGGCAGCGGCTGTTGAGCAGTAGCAAGCAGCTGGGCCTGCATGAGTTATGCAAGTGGCATGGTTATGCAAGTGGCATGGTGGCTGCTGTCAGGCCTGACACACTCTCTCTCCCTACATTTTACTGACATAAACAAATGCTTGAAGGCTGGGAGAGATATTAATTAAAAGGGTAATGTTTATAGCAGTCTTGAGGAGCATGTGTTCTATTGCACCTTCACACACATTAAGACCAGACAAGGTATAATCCCAAACAGATATCACACCAGCAGGGAAAGGGCGGCGGCAGAGAGTCCTCCGGGCAGCCCAGAGAGTCAGGGGGCCTGCACTACCAAGGAAATTGTGAGGCCTTAGCAGGAAGTTAGGGGGCCGGGCCAGGCTTGTTACTCCCACAACGCCATTCCTGTGTGTTCCTGCCCGAAATGACCCCTGCTGGTAAACATCTGGCAGTCAGGCAGGATGAAGGACCAATGCTGTGTTCCTGCCTGAAATGATCCCTGCTAGTAAACCTTTGGCAGTCAGGCAGGATGAAGGACCAATGCCTGGCTGAAGCACGCTTGCCAGTCTCATTCCTCATTATGCCTAAAAAGCAGTGACTACCGTTCTTAGAACCTACAAAAAAATTAAGGCGTGCAAAATTAAACATCTCCCAGCTATAACAAAACTCATACCATTAAAATACAATTAATGCTTAAATATGAAATGTAGCCTTTGAACTCTAGGACCCAAAGAACTGCACAAGCCAAGGCCCGTGTCCCCGAGGGAAAGTTTGTGGGAGTCCTCAGCTGTGTTTCCTAGCTAGAGCATAACCCTGGGAATGTGGAGACAAAGTGCTGTAAATATGTTTCTCCTTTTCTTCCTACAAACCAGTTGCCTGCCTTCTGTTTTGTTGACAAGCGCTTGACAGCTTAGTGCATGACAAAGATAGAATGTTTCGCTCCTATAATGTTGTTCAGCCAAAGCAGATTCCAGCTCGGTTGTCAATGGACTCGGTGGCATGTCTCCCATAGAAGAAGAAGAAGAAGAGAAGAGATTGGATTTATACCCCACCCTTCACTTGGAGTCTCAGAGCGGCTTACAAACTCCTTTCCCTTCCCCTCCCCACAACAGACACCCTGTGAGGTGGGCGGGGCTGAGAGAACTCTGACACAAACTGCTCTTTTTCAAGGACAGCTGTGCCAGAGCTTGTGACTGACCCAAGGTCACATCAGCAGGTGCAAGTGGAGGAGGAGTGGGGAATCAAACCCGGTTCTCCCAGATTAGAGTCCGCGCACTTAACCCCAAACTGGCTCTCCTGAGCTATGACTCCTGATTAAAGTAAGTCATAGATCTGCATTATAAGATGGACTGTGAGTATTGTGCATTGCCTCAACCAGCTTGACTGCTGAGCAATATCTTAGTCATCAAATAAGAGGCAAATGGCAGCCTGGCACAAAAAGCTACTTAGATCTGAGGAAAACTCAGGAGGGGGGGGGAGAGGGGGGGGAGAGAGAGAGACTTCCATCTCTCTGATGATGCAGAACCTCTCTTTGATTTAAAAAAATTCAGTGTGTGTGATTCTCATGGATTCCATCAAGAATAATCAATACACTGGATATAGCCCAACAATCTATTTTAAGGATAGATATTCCAAACCGGTATAATAAATGAAATAAATGTGCGCTCCCGCAGGAAATGACCACTGCTGCCTACTAACATCAGGGCCCTGTGGGATCTGCTACAATTCCGCAAGGCCTGCAAGGCAGAGATGTTCCACTAAGCATATGGTTAAGGACAGCAACGGTTTCAATGGTTAACAGCTCGAATAACTATCTGCTTCATCCTCCTCCACCACTGCTAATACAGATCAGGGGACTAGAATTGGATTATGGCACCACGTGGGGTTTTTAATTTTATATATCGGTATTTTAGACTGCTTATTGGATTTTATATGTTTTATAAAGTTTTATATGACTGCAGCCATGAAATTATAAGACGCCTGCTCCTTGGAAGGAAAGCGATGGCAAACCTTGACAGCACGATAAAAAGTAGAGACATCACCCTGCCAACAATAGTCCATATAGTCAAAACAATGGTATTCCCAGTAGTACTGTATGGCTGCGAGAATTGGACCATAAGGAAGGCCGAGCGCCGAAGATTAGATTCTTTTGAATTATGGTGCTGGAGAAGAGTCTTGAGAGTCCCCTGGACTGCAAGAAGATCAAATCAGTCAATCCTAAAAGAAATCAACCCTGACTGTTCCCTGAAAGGCCAGATACTGAAGCTGAAGCTCAAATACTTTGGCCACCAGATGAGAAGGGAGCACTCACTGGAGAAGACCCTGATGCTAGGAAAGATTGAAGGTCAAAGAAGACAGGGATGACAGAGGACGAGATGGTTAGACAGTGTTACCGATGCAACAAACATGAAATTAAGCAAACTCCGGAGCACAGTGGAAGACAAAAAGGACCTGGCGTGATGTGGTCCATGGGGTCGCGGAGAGTCGGACTCGACTGTGCGACTGAACAACAACATAAAGTTATGTTGTGAACTGCCGTGAGCCCGCTTGTGGGACCAGTATAAAAATCTAATAAACAAACAAATAAAAGTGCCACAACAAAAGAAGTGTATCTCTTTATGCAACTTGCTCCTGTTCCACAAGACTGGGAGCACAAGAACAAAGTGTGAGTCCGGTGGCACCTTCCACACCAACAAAGTTTAATTCTAGGTATAAGCTTTCGTGCGCACACACACACACACTCCTTCAGATACGAAGCGCTGTTTGGAATCTACACGAGGCACCTACCGAAAAAGCAATTGCCTTTTTCAAGCACACGATTTGAAAGGATATTGGTTTTGACATGTCGCTCTCTTATCACTCTCTCCCTTACTGTGGGACAAGAGTTCTTGTAAAAACGCTATTGGCCAGAGGGGTCACTACAACATCATCTTTTCTTCCACTGCTTTACTTAGCAGAGCGAAGTTGGCAGCTTGCAGACAAAGGCTTTCAGGCAATTATTTCCCAGATAGCCGATTTGTGCAAAGTGGTACCCAAAGGCAGCCCCTTCTTGTGTGTGCGTGTGTGTGTGTGTCTCCGTTTCTAGATACATTAAGACTTTGGGGGGGTAGAAAGTGCCCTCCAGTCACAGCTGACTTAGGGTGACCCAGTAGGGTTTCCAAGGCAAGAGACATTCAGAGGCGGCTGGCCATTGCCTTTCCTCTGCGTCGTGGCCCTGGCATTTCCTTAGTGGTCTCCCGTCAAAATACTAACCGGGGCTTCCAGATCTAACAAGATCTGCCTAGCCCGGGCACGTCAACAGCGTTTTATTCTCCCCCCCCCCACCACCAATATTTATACCAGGGCGATGACGTCACCTATACTTGACGGTCTCTCTTTGCAGCAATCCATTTCAGATCAATGGAGTAATGCACTACAGGGTCCCAGCCCCAAACACTGTCTGGCACGTCGCGGGCAATTCCCTCCTGCCCAGAAGTGTTTCGTGCCTCTTGCGAGGCCTCGCCCACGACGCCTCCCTCCTTCCCCCTTCCTGGCTCCCCCAGGCGCCGCCTTTCTCCTCCAAGCCATTTGGATGGATTTCCCCCTTTTTAAAATAAAGCAAATCCTTTCTCCCAAGGATCCCCGAGTGCCGCACATCGCTCTCCCCGTCGCCAGTTTTTTCCCCACTCCCTCACAACAACTCTGCGAGGTAGGCTGGGCTGAGAGAAGACGACCGCCTCCCCCTCTCTCCCTCCCTCCCCCAGACCAC